ACGCGGCCGGCGGGCCGGCCCCCGGGCCCTCCGCCGCTTTGCTCCCCATCTCCCTGGTCTGCTGGCTCCCGCAGCAGACCAGGGAGACGGGGAGCAGCTTTTCTCGCCCCGGAGGAGGTGGGCAGCGGGACCAGGCGTCCCGCCGCTCGAGTCCTCCGGGGCGAGAAAATCCCCGTTCGTAACTGCGGATCCGACATAAGTCGGATCCACGTAACTCGGGGACTACCTGTACATTCTAAAATTAGAAGGAACGAAGATGATCATCTAGTCCAGGGGAGCCAGATTTACTGACCCTCCAAATTTGATATGATGGAGTGCCTGCCATGGTATGTCTACACTACATGGCTCCAGCTGCTGCGCTGTGCCGATCAGCTGTTTGTCAGCACAGCGCGGTAGTCTGGATGCTCCACAGTCGACATCAAAAGCCTTTGTCGACCGCCCCAGTAAACCTCATCCCACGAGGCATAACGGGGTGGTCGACAAAGGCTTATGATGTCGACCGCCGAGCGTCCAGACTACCGCGCTGAGCCAACAAACAGCTGATTGGTGGCAGCCATTTTGATGTAAATGAAGTGGCGATTATTTAAATCACCGTTTCATTTTGCTATGTCTACAAAGCTCATCTACATGGCTCCGTCGATGGAGTCACGTAGTGTAAACAGAGCAGAAGCTCTGCATCATGGGGGTGATACCCTCCATACCACAGGACTAAAGCCTTGAGACCTCCCGCCTACAAGGCAGAAGCCCCTAACCCCACCACCCCAATGCACGGCATAAGCCCCAAGCTCCCTTTCCCCCGGAGAAGGGAGGTGCTCCGCAAATCACACTCACTGTAAAAGAGCTGCAAGTAACTTACAAATCAGTTTAGTTGAATTAGTCAGACTGGTCAGGTGTGGCCAATCTTCAGTAACCTAAAATTCATAGAATACAAGAATTCATAGTTTCTTACCATTGCGCCATCTGTTGAGTTCATTTTCAAGCCACTGTATGGTGTTACGCAGTGTCTTGTTTCTCTCTTTTTCTCTTTCATACTTTTTTTTCCATTGTTCTGCAGTAAGTTCCACATTGACACAAACTGTGTTCTTAATAGTCTTAGCTCTAGACAAAAAGATCAGAAAAATAGCCAGGCTGAACAAGTTTGATACTGAGATTTGAGCCTATACATAATTTGGTCAGATTACTGCCTATCCAATGAGTGTAATATTGTGCCTGTGTCCTTATTCATTCCAAACAGAAAGCCTTCAGTAAGGCTGTGATGAGATGACCACATAGTGCATTAAAGATTAAGCAGGTAAGTCATTAAACAGCCAGTCGACACTGCACTAATCAGTTCCTCTTCTAAATCACAGTCATCTTCCTTCCAATCATCTATGCAGAAGTTCCATATGTTCAATAACCAGTGGGTGGCCTTAACGTCAACCATAAAGATAATTCCAATGCCAGACATACATGGATTTTAATTTTGTAAATTCTACATAAACACCAACTTTTGAAGAATCACTACTTGGAGATAACAAAGTAGGGCTTAAACTGAAAATAGCTTGCAGTAAAGGATACATACCTTGCCAATCTACTTGAAACTCATATTCTTCCATGTTCTCTAGTTTAGGCAAAATGTGTCTTCTTAAAAGCATTTAATTGTTTACTCACCTTTGACCAAATAAGAGTGTAGATTTAGTTTCAGATTCATTGTATGATGATGGAGAGCAGCAAATTACAATAGTGGTTCTACAGTTACCACCCAATGAATCCTGAAGGATTCTGGTCATTTTACTGTCACGATATGGAACGTAACTCTGGAATAAATAAAAGTATAGATTAGCATATGTTTAAAAGAGGAGGTTAGAACTGATCGACTTAATGATACAGTTTGTTGGATAAGGATCTGTCTGCACTCAATTCAGCTAAGATCAATAAATTACCAGGAAGAACAGTCAGGCTCACCGATGAGGAAAGGAGAGGGCAAGTGCCCCATGGCCCAGTGATTCAAGGAGCCTTGCATCATTTAAATTGTTGCCAGAGCAACAAAGTGCTGAACTGAACACTCCAGGCAGCACTAAGGACTGGGATGCTTGGGGATGGGGAAAGAATGCTGCACTTCAGGCAGTGCTGAAGGCTGGTGTCCCTCATCCCTCCCCGATTCATGGAGTACGGAGTCCTATCTCCGCCATGCCCAGGGGCCTATGTAGGCTGTCAGCTCCACTGAGGATAGTAAAGATAAATTCTCTTCAGATTCTTAAACGATACCCATCAGAGTGGTATAAGCACAAATCTTCCAAATAAAAATGTTATGTCCAAGACTTTATACTTTTAGGGTAGATGAAACATCCGTTAAGATAATCTTCTGATGTTATATACGCTTATTTAAAATTCTGCTTTACACAGCAAGAATGACACTAGCAGACATTGTTGCATTTTTAAAGTGCAGTGATACAAATGGTTGAGATTTTTCAGACAGTGCACATGGGGATGTGTGGTTAAATCCCATGTGTTGACTTGAAAATCTCAGCCCATGTTTCCTCAATACTATTGCATCTGTATTGTGTCTCTGGATTTTAAAAAAATGCACTTACACTGCTTTCAGCCAAAGCAGAGATGACATTTCCAAGAGCTGAGAGAGACTTGTTGATATTCTTAGCTTCATCTAGCACAGCACCTTCTGCTCCAGTTTTACTAACCTAAAAAAGATTGAACAAAGCAAACATCCTGGGAAGCACTTTTCAGGTTAGGTGTTTATAAAAAACCCTGAATAGCTTACTCTTTTTTAAAAAGTATTATCACTGTTGCACCACTAACTAGTAAAGTCAGCCGGGAAACTGGATTCTCTTCCCTCTCTCCACACAACCTTGAGAAAAATTCTGATTTTTCCACCGAAACACATTTTGAAATAAGACTACTCAGTTTTTTCAGTGAAAATCAAAAATTTCCCAAGGAATGCAGACACTTCTTGTTAAAAAAATGTAGTTGAAAACTCAATTTGGGTGAAAAGTTGGACCAAATATACTCACTAGACCGGGGTGACCAACCCAAGGCTCTTCAAAGAAAAAAATTGTGTCTCTGAAAGGGGTGTTTCTGTCGCAGCATACAGACTATATACGGAGCAGATTCAGAAACAGCCTCTGTCACAAAAAAACCTTAAGACACAGGTTCCTGATGCTACAAGTTTACAGAGAAGATTACAGTGGAAAATTACTGCAGCCTCACTTCCCTCAGAAGGTACCTGAGGCTCCTGGATAAAAATAAAGTCACTAGTTCCTGCTAACACCATCCCCATATCTGCTGCCATGCGTAGCTCCGCAGTTCTATCATCTGTATTGCCCCTCCCTCACATTCTCCCAATCTACATTGAAATAATTTTGAAGCTGCATTTTATTTTAAGTAAACAAGCATTAAGTGTAAAATGAACACAATATATATGCCACAAGGTGAGCACACAACTTGTGGGAAAACTGTGGTGTCTGACTATTTTTAAGAACCAATTGAACAATTAAGGAGATTCAACAACATAACATGGTCAGTTTTTTAACCTTGTACATTAGATTTTCTAAACTGTGTGTCATTTTTGCTGCACTCCTCTGGCGATATACTCACAACTGGGTCAGGCCTGGAAAATGCCTTTCCATCATGGCATGATTCCAGAGGGGCAAGGGAAAAGCTCTGAGAAACCTTTAAAACCAGGTCTTTTTATATGATCAATGAACAAGCAATGTCATTGCTCTTAATTGTACTTTAACTAATTGTACTTTAACTGAAACCTGCACTCTCCACGCTTTTCTCATCTCACTTTGCCATATTTTCCCCTAATTTTTCCTTAATTTCCCTGTACCTGATGAGGACCCAATCAGTCTTTTTCCTATTTTGATTATCTTAAGATTTGGGTTGAGGTAAGGCTGGTATTTCAAGGGTCATTACAAACTTAAACATAGACAATCTCCCTTTTTCCTGATCTTATTCTATTTGGTCAAATGCTTTGCACCTATTGCTTGTGCTACAATCCAAACCCAATTTTAAAAACACAGTTCACTCAGGCCTAACATAGGCCTGCAGGGAGACAAGCAAGACCCTGTAAATACTGGCAGAGTGGTTCACAAGATGACTCCACTTCATTCTGTTAATCAAAATAAGGAAGAAATTTCTACACAACTGCCTTTTCTCAGAATTAAGGTTTCACAAGTGCATTTACAGTCAATGTGATCACAGATCAATGTATTAGGATAGTATTAATACAAGCAACTACAACTTACTCAAAATCTACACCACCAGCTTCACAACAAATTCCCTTTCAATTCCAACATAACCAAATCTCAGGCCACAGCTCCAGTTTGTCATATCACATTTAAATGGAGAAAATGAACTTCATTCTACTTTTTTCATGTACAAAAAGTCACTACACATTTTACCAAAGTCAATTGTATCTGTCAATAGGAAGTAGATCAAATTAGCTTACGCAGTACTGGAGTTGAGGTTTCACATCTGAGCACTGGAGTTGAAAAGAGTCCTGAAGTTGACTGAGAAGTCAATATTATAATTTGTATCCCCTTAGGAATTGATACTTGAGCAACCTAAACTGTATGTTAAACAGGTTCACGTATGTTTCTTTAGTTTTCAAATATAAAAAAAAAAGTTACCTTTTCACTACCTGCCAAGTCCACAAGGTAAAGTTTTCCACTCAGTTTCTGTTCAGTTTGGGTGTTCTCTTGTTTTACATTAATAAGGAAAATACTATGACTTCGAGAGCTGTGTTCGTTCATGTCTATAATGCAAATATTTAAGAATTTTCAAAAAACATTTTGCTTATACAACAAATCTGCCCTGATAACTAGACTAATTTGACCTTAACTAGACATTTATTAGTTAATATGAACCTCTACCAGTGAACAAATATATCTAGAAATAAACAGCCATACAGCAGTTTCTGATGAATACAGCATATTTAATCTAAAGCAGGCAAATAAAGATTCAATCCCATCTTATTCGATTAAATCACCCTTTTGACATTTCTATTAATAAAATGTGAAGTGTATTGATAAAAACTTACTAGTCTTCCTTTTACTGTGGGCTTCAAGTATTTTTGGAGTTTATTAGACACAATAGAACATTTGTCAATTTATTTAACCAAAGCTGGTGCATACTGACCCAACATGCAGTTTTTCCTTTAGGGCTCATCTAGGATTACATGAAAGATTCAAAAAAGGATATGCAAATTCCACGGGAATTTCCATATCTTCTTCCAATCTCGCTTTTGAAAGTGAAAGTAATCAAAACGCAGGGTTTTTTGGCCACCCCTCCTTTTTTGAAAAGCCACGTAAACCTCTTTTTTCCTTTTAAAAAAAGGGGGGGGGGGGGG